GAGCCTCCCCGTCTCTCCTCCGCTGGCCACAGTGCCCAGCACGGGAAGACTCTGGAGCAGCTGTGGGAGGAACAGCTACCGCTGTGGAGAATCCCAGGGCTCCACACTGTCTGAGCCCAGGGGAAAGAGAACAGGCGTTAGATATTTACAAGGTGTGATCAAAATACATGGAGGATGTTGGGGTTTTAAAATTTATTACAGTAAAAGAGACATCACCACGCTCTCCCGCCCCTTCGCTTCTTAGCCCATCAATCTTGCCGCTTTCTGGAGAAGCTCTGGAGTCCTCTTCTGTGTCTTCATGAAGTGTGATACAAAAATTTGGTGAATGGTGCTGTGGAACGCCGTCCTCTAGAGAGGCAGCTCCTAAAATCATGACGCTGCGTCCTCGTCCACCTTGGTCACTTGATCTGGCACCGTGCAACTCCTGGCTCTTCCCAAAGTGAACATGACCACGCAAGGGAAACATATCTAATCCACTTGGGACACGATTTGAATTGATTCACGCAGTCAGGACAGCACAGTTAAAGACACTTATGAAAGAGGACCCCAAAACTGCTTCAGAAAGGGGCAAGGATGAGGGGACGAGTGTGTTCAAAGTGAGGGGAGGATGTCTGAGGGAGATTCGTGGCTGTGCGTCTTTTACTCTGTAAACATTCACTACATATTTTGATCACACTCCGAATAGCTAGGAATTTCCCTGCTCACAGATTGTGTCTGCAAAGGGCTTAGTGCCATGGAGCATTTTCCCCTTTCCCCCTGGTCACAGTGCAGGGCCCCCGGAGCCTGAACAGCCCGAGGTGGACAGAGGTAACCTGAACTCCTTCCCGGTGAGCTGCTCTTGCTATCTGCATAAAATACAGACTGTTGCATGTCGACTAGTCACTAAGCCCAAAGGAAACAGCGGTTTTCCGACTACAAAATGCACTTAATTGTTCCAAAGAACAGGTTCCTATAGCACATGTTTACAGGCTGCTCATCCATATAGAAGGGTTCTCAGGGTAGCTTTGTAATATTAAAATTGCTCCTTTGGTGGACACTACTGAGAGGGCCCTCTTGGGTAGGTCTCTCTGCTCCTCTGTGACACCTTAGAGCCAGTCAGATTGACTTCAGTTTACCAGGCCCCCCCCCCAAACAGGCTTGGTTAAGAAACTTCTCCCCAGAATATGGCAGCGTGGATACTTTTCAAGGAATTGTTCTACAGCATGCATTGCCAGCCCCTCTGTTCAAATCTTAAAAGATCAAAACCTCTAATTGGATTTGGTTTTATTCCATTCTTCTGCAGAGTTTTGATGTCCCTTAGAATTTATCCATAGTTCCTCTTTCATTTTCTTTAGGCACTAAAGCCCAATGGTGACACCAGGAAGTGTCACTGGAGCATTTGGCAGCCTTCCTCTGGGAACATAGGCTCCCCATGAAGATGCCTGGGTCAGGGAGACTCTAATCAAAGCAGAAGAGGACACGGAGGATGTGTCCCTATTGTGCGATGGCCACTGGGACAAGCACAGAGATTTACCCACCTTAATCACTTTCTCGTGAAAAGACATCAAAATGTGGCCCTGCCATTGTCATGACCTTGTGAACTACATCAGATCCAGACTATCATAGAGAGGTGGTTTCCAAGCATGCAGAAGTGATATTTAAAGTCTAAATATACCTCAAAGGCCCTGGAAAATGAGCTGAGAAATTAGAACAGGGCAGAGAAGTACATTAGGCTTCTAATAAAACTCACTCTTTGAAAAGGACCATCTTTAAAGTTTGCAAATCCTCCCGGGTTTTACAGAAGCATATGAAAGCCACAGTAATAGGCCTCCCCAGGGTCGGCTGAGGCAAAGTGAGGCCCTGCATGGCCATTCCTTGCCAGAAGCTCAGCACCCCACAAGCTCTGCTATCTTCAGTCACACAGGGACCCACCCGGCAGGACTCTCCTTGTGGGAGAGATTGTTTTATAATCATTGCTTAGGAAAAACAGGGTGAAAACCGTGCTTTTAGCTTTTTGGAAGTGTCAAACTTACTGTGCTATGGCAATTAGAAATACAACTGCTTTTATCTTCATTTTGTGGATTTTTAGGTACTGCTAACATGGTTTGGAAAATGTGATTAAATTAGGAAAAAATTCACTCCGAACCCAGGCTGTGTTTACTTCTCATCGAATTGATGATTTTTCTTTTTTCTGATGAGAATTAACAGAGATCTACCTTACTAACATCTCAAAAAGAATAAAAAGAAAATGAAACAAACTTTTACAAGTTGAGAGAAAAATCAGTATTTCAGATGGGGCGCAGGGCTGACCTGCCTCCCCCTGCAGAGCGCGAGCACTTATTAACCCAGCCTGGGCTGGGTTTGCTGTATGACATAAACCGACAGCAATGAAATTTTAGCAGAAGTTTATCCATCTAATCATATTTTTGTCCAATTTTTATAATATCTATATGTGAAGTTCATTCACAAATTTCAGACTTTAATTGCTTGGTTTTTGTTGAGAAGATTTATGTAATCATAATTCTACTAAATTAGATACCACTATTTAAGGATAGTAATGATGTATATTTTTCCACCCTGGAAAATACATTTTAAATCATTTTGACCCACTGCAAACATTCTGATAATAGTTTTTTAGAGCCCTATCATAAATAATTTTTAAAAAGCCATATGAGTGGGCAGTGTTTGAACACACGGTCATAATTCAAGCCAATTATATTGCTAAACATGAGGTTAAGGCCCCAGTACTTTATCACAATTCCTATTCTATGGTCTGTTGGCAATTAAAATACCATCATTATTTTGCAAACCACGTAAAACTGTCGGGATCTGGAGACATGAGTAACATTTGGTGCTCTGTTATCCAGAAGAGCACTTCTGTTGCTGCTCAAACTGCCCGTGGCCGCCTTGCAACCTTCTCCATGGTGCAGAAGCAGACAGAGACTGCAAAGGCTTTACTTAGTCTCTGGCCTAGCTCTGGCCCTGCCCAGCTTTGCCGGCCAGGAGCCTGGACGGGGCAGAGGGCTCCTCAGAGAGGCCAAATGTGTGACGTCCCTGCTGCGTCCAGCAGGGTAGGTCAGGCCATCTAGGACTGTCTGGGCCCTAAAACTGGCTGGGCGAACTCATGGGGTGTGGCCTCCACTGTGCATGGAAACTCTTCTCCCTGCAGTCATCTCGTACCACACTTTCACACAGCTGCGTGTCAGAACAAGGTCGCTTGATCTGACTTTTCTAAAGATATCTTCTGATACCGTATGTTGACAATTTCCGTGCTATTGTGCTTGGTGTGATGCAGGCACCATCAACATGAGCTCATGCTCTGATGGGCTTCTCTGGAGCCCTGTCTTAGACCCAGTGTGAATACACAGGCGGTGGCGGTGGCCTTCTGGGTACAGGTCAGGGCCGAGGTGGCAGCGCTGGGTGGTACCTGGTCCCCAGGGAGGTGGACTGAGAAGGTGGGAGTCGGGCTGAGAGGTCACCAGCAGCACGGCGTGGTGGGATCATTGCCAGCGCAGCCCCGAGGGAGCTGCCTCCTGTCCCCTTCCCTCTGCCTTGGCGGCCACCCCAGGCAATCAGCAAGCGTGGGCCAGGACCCCAGACTCTGAGAACCAGCACTGCTCTGCCTCAGTGCGCTGGGCTCTGCTTTCCCAGCCTGACCAGAGCCTCCGCCGCCCGCTCTGGGAAGGCAGAGGAGGCTGTTGAGATGCAGACCCCAGCGGGTGTGTCAGGCCCACAGTGGGCACAGAAGTGGCGGCTGCAGAGACCCCACTGCCCGGCTGCTTCTGGGTGTCAGCGGTGAACTGGCCCCTGTGAGGCCGCAGTGGCGCCACCTCTCCTTGGCTGGGTTGGACGACAGCAGAGTGCATGTCCTGTGTCTTGTTCTGTCTGCTCTGATGCCGTGGCCTGAGCCCTCTGACCCCACAGGGCAGCCCTACCCATGGAGGGTCGGCCGCCTCTGGGACGCGTGTGCCGAGCAGCCCAGCAGCGCAGAGCCACAGCCCTCATCGTCGGCGGATCTCACAGGCTCTGTTCCTGAGCCCTCTCCCGCCCTACTCCCACCTCTGCATTCCTGGACGGCACAGGCCCGCCATCTAGGGTCAACTACACCATCCAGAGCCCCGCGTGGCAGTTCTGTGTCTGCCTGCCCTGGCCGGCTGCTCCTGCAGAGTGGCACAATGGCTTCTGCTCGCTCACTCTGTCAGCGGGATTCGGCCTGCAGCGGTACCTAGGTTCATGAACTCGATTCTCTCCATCATTCTGGTCACAAACTGAGCTGGACAAGAACCGAATTCAATTCCTTATAAAGTCAGCATCGAGCCTGACCTTCAGATCTGATTCGGTTCTGGTCTAACTCGGTTTGTCACCAGAGTTGTGGAAAGAATTGAGTTTCTGAACAGAGGTAGCACTGTAGATGCCCCCTTCAGCCACGTGTGACGGCAGGCAGGCCCTCTGGATGGCGACTGGCCCCGGGGCTCCCGGGTGCCTGCCGTCAGGAGGCGGGCGAGGTGAGAAGAGGTCATTGCCGTGAGTGTGCCCTGGACGGGTGCATTCTGGCGCCCAGCTCTCCTCTTTGCCTCCTGGCCCCTGTAATGCGAGCTGCTTTCTTCTGCCAGACCCACCTGATCGAGATCACCTTCTCCTCCTGTACATCGCAGGGGTCCCAGCGACTAGAAAGAGGCTAAGATACTCCCTCTGCTTTCTGACCAGCCCTGCTGCTGCTCCCAGGGGCCCTCTGTGGCCACGCATGCCTGCCTCTCTTGGGACTTCTCCATCCAGCGAGCGAGCTTCCTGAGGTCGGCGGCCCCAGAGCGGTTGGTGTTGCCCAAGCAGCCGTAAGGCTTCCCTTCTGGAACAGATCCCCAGAGCCTGCAGCGTGCAGACAAACGGGTGAAGACAGGTGGGCTGAGATGGATCCGCTGCCCCCACATGGCTCAGCAGAAGACTCCAGTGCTCAAGACACCAGCCCGAACACCAAGCAAACGACACTGTGGCAGCATGGAACTGCACCCTTTTATTGGCAGAGTTGTATTCCAAAGGCTGCTATGAATAAAAAGTTCTGAGTAGCAAGACAGGTGGTCTGAAGCCACTGCTGAGGACCCCGGGGGACGGAAATGCACAGAGAAGCAGAAGCAGAGCCACTGGGGGACAGGAAGGCGGGGACACAGCGGGAGGGTCATATGGGGCCACTGGCGGGGACCGGCCTGGGGCGCAGCACCCACACTGCGGCCTCGGATGACCTTCTGCACCACCACTGATGAACCTGAAGCCATACACGTGTCGCTGAGCACCGCAAACTTCCTGGGGCCTACGCTGAAGCCGGGGGGTGGGGGGCAGAGTGGGGGTTTTGCTAAGGGCCGCACAAGCTGCTCACCCAAAAGCAGAGGCCGGTGGAGGGACAGCGCTGTTCCCAACCATGAGTGAAGTCTAAGACACCATGGGGCTCGGCCCAAGGTGACACTGCAAAGCCAAGCAACAACACGGTCCCGCTGGGGCTGGATCCTTCAGGTTAATCAAACAACGTGTGGAGGAAAAAAACTATAAGTAGCGTTTGGAAATCTGTATTTGGAAGAGAGAGGGAGCACCACCGACAGGTCGAGTTACAAAACACCGTCATCCACTTGTAAATAATTATCGGTTGAAATTCAAACGGAACTCAAACACCTACGGGGAAACAAACTAAACGAGTCTGTGCACAGGCGCATCACAGAGCCAGGGCGAGGACGGGCTCCAGGGAACAGCCCTGCGCAGGAGCTTGTGGGACCTCCGTCATGGCTCCCTGCCGCTGCCCCTCCTGTCTCACGCGCCCAGCCTTTCTGTCCCCACCTGCGGGGAGCGTGGCCCTATCAACGTGGAGCCTGAAAGTCACAGAACGGGGGAGAAGGAATACACGCACACACACGCACGCAGGATCATCGACGCAGGGGGACGGGATCAGTGTACTGTGTCCTGTGTCTGCAGCCCAGGCCCCTAGCTGGTGGTGTCCCAGAGCTTGGGGGGCAGGCGGCTGCAGGGGGCCCCTTCCGGCTTCTTCAGCAGGGTGGGCTTCTTGCAGGGCAGTGGCGGGGGTGCGCGGGGCTCGGGGGGCTCCAGGGCCTGCTGCCAGTCTTGCTCCTCGCAGAGCTTCCGCCTCCAGTCCAGCAGCTCTTGCAGGGCCGCACTCTCGTTCTCTGAGAGCCGCAGCTGGTGGATGACCTGGGACACAGAGGACGGGGAGGTGTCAGACACGGGCGAAGAGCGTGGCGCACGGGCACGATGTACGGGCGGGAGGGTCAGCACTGGGTGCAGAGGTGGCCTCTGTGTCCGGGCCTCCCGCCCAAGGTGGATGGGAAGGGCAACGAGGGGAGTGGCTGCCAGCTGCAGGACTGGGACGCAAGTGGGAGTCGGCAGGAGGAGGCCGGTGAGGGGGCGCCATGAGTCACGCTCCAGACTCGAGGGAGGGAGGCCCGGCCGGCTTGACCTGCACTCCCCCATTGCGAGCACTCTTGGGAGGGCCTGTACTTTTCTTCATTCATGTGTAAGTAATAAATACACTGAATATTTAAATACTAAAATTCACTACAGTGAAGTACATAATACCATTCATCTCCCTCAAAATTTCCTCCTTGCTCTGGACACACTCATCCCACTGTCCTCGCCACTTCCTGCAGCAGCTCTGGTGTCCTCTCTCCTGCACGTCTGTAGTTGCACAGCCCTCCATGTCCTGAAAGCATTCAAATGTTTCCCTTTCCTGGTCATCCTGACTTCGGGAAGAGCCAGAAGTCGGACGGTGCCAGATCCGGTGACTAAGGCGGACGAGACACAGAATCGTGTTTATGAGTCTTTTTTTCTTTTGCACAGCAAGCTACAAGACATTCATTGTGTCTTTGATCACACCTCATAAATCCACGAAAGAGGAATTTCCAAAACTACTCCAGAAAGTGGCAGAAACAATGGGATAAGTGTGCTGAAGACAGGGAGAAGGATTCTGAGGGGAGAACAATGGCACTGTCTTTCACTGTAATAAACGTTTTTTTGAAATAAATTCACTGTGTAGCGCCATTGTCCTTATCAGTGTTCCTAACAGCAGGTATCCCTCAAGCTCCACCCCTCCCAGAGCCAGGCCTCCAGCTGGCCCCTAGGTTAACTCGCAGCAGTGGTGACCACGGAGGCCACGTGGTTGGTCCCGACCACAGCTCGCTAATGCACAAGGGATCCATGTAATCTGTACAACTCGAAGACACACACACCATTTCCACGCCCAGACACTGTAAGAGATGGCCCTAAAATGTCAAGCTGGCTCCCTCGAGGTGGGCTAGCTTGCCAAGGACACCGTGGCCTTCCTGGACACCGAGCGGCACCCTCCACATCGTGGCACGTCTGTGAGACACAGTGATTTGCTAAAGCGGTGACCACTCCCTCAGGCGTCAGTGCTCTGTGGCCTCTGCCAGGAACCATGCAGGCTGCTGCCACTGGCTCCTCCCCTGCTCCACAGAGGCACCTCAAGACCCAGCTCCCTCCTTTTCAGCCGAACACAGTGGGACTCCTCCCTCCTGCCAGCAGCCAGTTGCCCATAACAGCTAGCCATGCGGACACTGGGTTTTCTGGCTTCTTGGAAGTGTGTCTGCTGGTTTCAAATGAGTCCAGAAGTCAGAATGGGAGACCCCAGCAGAAATACGAGGAAGGGAGATGGTTCACCCTATACACAAAGCACCACATACCCTGTTCTGCAAGCTCTTCCAGCACACCCAGAGTCTCCATTAATGAGAGAGAGAGAGAGAGAGAGAGAGAGAGAGAGAGAGAGAGACTGCTGCGGAGCACAGTGGTGGTGGCACAGGGAGAGGATAGTGCCCCTCAGGATTGAGGCATTCAGGGTGCCCAGGACAGCACCGAACCTTACTTGAGTCTGTTGCTTGCAAGCAGGAGGGGTGTCACAGGCTAGAATGAAGAAAGCAGAGTAATGCACAGAAGCTGTGCAGGCCAAGCCCACAAACAGAGCCCATAACTAGGTCTCCAAGATGGTTTTAGCCAAAGCAGCTTCTCAGATTGAATGACAGGGAAGCACCGAAGCAAAGCCAGCATGGAGGAGAAGACTGTGACTGATGGGCCCTAGAAGACTGATGGCTACTGGGCCTCTAGGCATCATGGAAAGTGAGCTGCAGAGCGCGACCAGCCCTGACACGAGGGCTTGCTGCTGGTCTCCAGAAGCATGCCAGAATGACGGGGAAATGAGGACGCTGCAGCAGACAGACCCCTGTGGAGGCCAGACTGCTCCTAAGCCATTGGAAAGAGCCAAGAACACGGGGTGGCAGGGATGGGCATAGAATTCAGTTAGTTCGTGGGCACTCTGGGGTATCAAACATGTGCCAGGTCCTTTGCTGGACACCTTACAAGCATTAACTCATTACTCCCCTTACACACCCCAGAGAGTGTGGATGAGGAAACTGAGGCACGGACAAGCCAGGCGATTTGTTCAACATCACAGGGAACGTGGCAGAGCCAATGTCCAGAGTCCCTGTTCTTAACTAAGACACCTCGCTGATTACCACCTACCAAATGCTGTGCCAAGACCCCAGCTCCCCACACCAGGCTCTCTCTCCTTTTTCTAGGCGGAGACTCACAGCTCTCTGTGTAGTTGTCCAAGGGTGCTGTTCTCCAGTGCATGTGGTGGGGAACCGGGCCAGCTTTAGTGACCTCTGCGCTGTGGTGTGGAATGTTCCTCTGTGTGCTCCTTGGCTCACAGTCAGACTACACCAATGATCTCTGAAAAATAACGTCACCAGGTAGAGTCCCGGGATGCTGAGTGGGTGGAAGGGCACCTCTACCATCTCAGCTGGTTGTTTCCCTAAAGACTCATCTCTCTTAGGGGACCTGAGCCATTATTCACTCATTTAAGAGACACAGCTGGAGCTTCCCACTCCTGAATAGCTTGTGACCAGTTACCGCTCCGGTCAATAAGAGCAGGACACTACAGAAATCACATTTTCAAACAACAGAAAGCACTGCCCAACTGAGGCACTTCCAGAAGGGTCAGGGTCTCTGAGATAGACTGATAATATGAGCTGCTTTTCCCCCTGGGACAGCAGCCGATTCTGAGCTGTTCTGCAGGGCTGGAGAGCCCTCTCTGGAAGGGAGGGAAAGCGGATGACGTCTGTGCAGTTGCCAAGGACTAGAGAAACAAACCGGAAGTGCAAAGATCTGGAGTGCGCATCACACTCCCCAAGGAACATTTGTGGAGTTCTTCAGCTGCAAGGATGCCTGGGGCCTAGGGCAGAGTCAGGAAAAGCAGACAGAGCACCCTACGAGGATAGAGGTGGTTTGAAAGCAGAACTGTGCTGGGGTTTCTCATAGCTCCAGGTACCAGGCTGGTCTCATTCTAGTCGTTTTCCAGAGTTTGAGACTGTGCAGGGCAGGAGGCTGCAGAGCAAGGCCCAGGGCTTACAGGGGCGCAGCTGGATCCGCTGCTACATTCAGTGTTGATTCACAAGCGCAGGACAGACAGTGAGGATGGGAAGGGCACAGGGACTATGGGCCCCGCAGCGCAGCTCTGCTCCTGCTCTGATGGAGGTGATCGACCCTCAGCTTAGCTTCCCAGGAGAAGGCAGAGGAGCCCTCACAGGAGGAAGGGAGCAGCACCTGTACTGTCTGCAGCTTAATCTCTGACGATGCCCACCACACAATCAAAAATTACTACACAGGGAAAGAGACAAGCGGTTACACCAATAACCAAAACCAAAGCAGGTTCACAGCTGACCCAGATGTTGGACTTAGTAGATAAAGATTTAAAATTCCTACAATTAAATGTTTAAGAGAACAAAGGAAAAGTTGAACAAATTAGGAAACATCAAAATAGGCATACATAAAGGAAGTACTCACAGAGTAAAGACAGAAAGAATGTGTCAAAGCAACATTCAAAGCAGCAAGTCTCCAAAACTGGTGGAAGAGTTAATGCATGCATAAAGAAAGCTCAACAAGCCACATAAGACACGAACACGCCATCAACACAGTCATGTAAAAGCAAACACAGGGCAGCTGCATGAGAAAGGGTGTGAGGAAAAGACAAATAGCAAAGCTCTAAACATCCAGAAAAAAGACACACTGAATTCAAAGAAACCACACTGAGAGCAAAAGCTGACTTTGTAATAGAAACATCGGAAGCCAGAAAACAATGAGTCATTGGTTAAATAACCGAAAAGAAAAGAAGCTCTCTGTTCAATAATAATATTCCCCCCAAAGAAAGCGAAATAAGGGTATCTTTAGACAGATCAAAATGAGGACATTTGTCCTCAGAAGTCCAGCCTTAGTAGGAAGACGAAAAGAAGTTATTTTAAGGCGAATGAAAATAATCCCAGGTAGAAAAATGAAAATGTAATAGTGAATCAGGAACCCTGGATTTAGAGAACCCACAGATAAATGACAAGTTATATGCCTGGGCTGTACTGTAGAGTTTGAATCATGCATAAACCATGAGAATGTGCCAACAGCAACTGCAGCAGCCAGGAAGCACAGCGCACAGAGCCAGCGCGGAGTTCCAGCGACGTCGGATGGCGGTGTAAGATCTGCTCTGCGCGGCAAGTCAGGAGAGCATGTTCGGTGTTGCAGCAGACTATTTGCAGAGGACTGAGAACACCTGGGAGCACATTCAAATAGGAGTGAGACAGCGCTCAGCTCACCTAAAAGAGAGCAAGGAAGAAGGACCGGAAATAGAGCCTGATCTTCACAGCGTCAAGGATAAAAACTGCAAGAGCAGAGCTCAGCTGTCCCCTGTAGCCGGCACCCCTCTGCGTCACCTGATGCCATGGGCTGTATTTCCTTGATGGCCCTGTGCGCGAGCCCACACAGCCAGGTCCTTGCGCCAGCCCCATGACACACGTGCTCTGTTTCTTCCATCGTGGCCCAGAGTGCACTGGATGTGACGACCAGACAGTGTCCCTCCCGGATGGGCAGAGGGAGGGCCGACCTGCAGAGGGACGTGGACAGAAAATGTCCCAGGTCCCTAGTCCTGCTTCTCCTTTTTGGAAAAGACAAAACAAAACCTCAAAGTGCCTCTCTACCCTTTGCGATCTGCTTAGTGTTTTACTAAAAGCACCTGAATTCCTGAGTGTGCTATAAAAAGTGAAATCGTCCACAGGGACCGTTAGAAAGCTCTTTCTTAAAGGGGGATTTGATGCTGTGAATGATGTAAACAGGGACAACACCATCTCTGAAACATCAAG